GAGAGAGAGAGAGAGAGAGAGAGAGAGAGAGAGAGAGAGAGAGAGGATTACTTCTTCTTCTTCTTTCTCTTCTTGCTCTCCATCGCTCCTCCTCCTGCCCTTCTGGAGCTCTCCTTCTTCTTCTACTGAGGCATGAGAGAGAGAGCGAGAGAGTTGACATTGGGACTGAGTGACAGTTGGGCTATGCCCGGTTCAGCTATATTGCGACTTGGACATAATTGTTGCGGACAATGACATTGGGGGTTTGTTGGAAACGGGGTTCATCGGGCTATGGTGGCTGATCCTTCGTATCTCCTCTTCTCCTTCGCCTCATCTCCCCTCCCTTCGTTTGTGGATGGTGTGCCTGACTCAGCACCTCTTCCATGATTGCAACGGTAGGTCTTTCCCTCGTATGTGATGATGATGGTGTGTAGTCCATGTCAGTGTCCTGATTGAGTCGGATAGTTGGCATTTCAGTTTTCCCCTTTGCTATCATTGCTCTACCTCTTTGAGGTCGATTCTTGGTAGTGATATGTGCCTGATAGGCATGCGACATACAGCTTGTCTGGTTTATTGATCGATTCAATCAATCAATCAATCAACCAATCAGGATCTGATTGATCTTGGCTGGGTGATTGATTGATGGATGGATGGATGGATGGATGGATGATGGATGGATGGATGGATGAATAGATGTATAGATGTATTTAATTAATCACGGTCGTGGAAGGATTTGATGAAGGGTCGGGGAGGGATAAAGATAATGGTCGGGGAGGGATAAAAATAAAATATCGAAATCATCAATCAATCACGGTCGGGGAGGGATAAAAATAAAATATTGAAATCATCAATCAATCACAGTCGGGGAGGTGTAAAAATAAAATCTTACGAGAGAACATGCGGGGGCTGCTCCCGACCTGCAGGTGGGCGATACCGGCTAGGGGAGAGCCTACAAGGTTCCCTGTATGCCTACAATTAGGAGTAGTTGTAGGTAGGTAGTGTGAGGTGAAATTGAGAGAAGAATCCTATCCCTTATGGAGCATTGGCCATGGGGGGAGGTCGGTGGTCCGCTGCGCGCCGGATTCGGGGTTGAAATGTTGACGAGGGTCGGTGGACGAATGCGATCCAGGGCGGGGGAGTGTGTAGAGGGGCGCACGTACCGAAATGTTCACAATGCGCCATGAAACGAGAGCTCACGCCTATGGGGCGGGGCGGCGGCGGACCAAGATGTGAGGGAATATCTCGAACTGGCCGCCCTCGATAAGCGGGTTTTCAATGTTTTTCTTTTTCATTTTTGATGGCCTGTCACTATTGTTTGAGCGGCTTGGTTTTGAATTTTCGTAGATGTGAGGGAATATCTCGAAACGGCTGCCATTGATAAGCGGGTTTTCAATATTTTTCTTTCTTGTTTTTGCTGGTCGGTCGTTGTTGTTTGAGCGGCTCGATTTTCATTTTTCTTCTTTTTCGTTTTCGGTTGCCTGTTGTTTGTTGCGGCCCCTTTTTTTTTTTTTGGGGGGGGGG